TTATCCCCACCCTCTCCAGGTGTGAGAGCCTGTCGGTGTGGGGGTGTGACTGACCATTGACCCTGAGACCAATCACTGACCCTGACCTTGGAATGCTGCTACTCTGGACCTTCATTGGATGGAATTTTCCCCTGAATGTCTTGTCCCCCAATAAAAGGCCACTCCCTGGCGTGCTCGCTCTCTCTCTCTCTCCTGCTAGTCCTGAGTAAGCCTTGCTGCCCCACAGGGTGGTTCGAGGCAAGAGCTAGAGGGAGGGCCGTCTCAGACCTGGTCAAAGAAAAAGGTAATTGAGTCTTGTGTGTTTATTTTGATCTCACTAGTTAACTTCTATGCTACGAACCTCTTGTATGAAATCAGCGTGCTGGCTGCGCGGTGGAATCGAGAACACTGTCCAATGCAATGTAGGAAATATAATAAGTGACAAAGGCAAAAACTAGAGCCAGACTCACATAGCAAGGCCTTATGAAGACACTATCACACACCTCTGAAAGCAGCTAATGTTCCTCAGTGAATAAAATGGATCAAGATGAAAACACAGACATCCTGTAAATTTGTCTCTAAATACTGGTAGAACAGAATACATTGTGAGTCACACAAAGGAACAGGACTTCCCTATTCTCACTAAGATGACTGACTTATATATCTCATAAATTAGGTTTGCTTTCTTTCCATTACTTTGGTAGAACTAATGTGTTTACCAAAGATCAAATGCATTCATCCCATCAACACATCCAACAGAAGGAGATGCCTCACTGCACTGCATCCAAGCCAATCCCTAAACAAATACCCATCCTGATGGACACTTTATGGAGAATGCCTTCACTGATGAGCCACACAGCCATTTACAGATGTTGGATGGACTGACTAGTATAGTTCACTGCATCCTGTTTGACAAAAACTATGGCCTTGGTGGAAGGACAAGTTACAATCAAAATAAACCTTTTTAACAACATAAGGATGAGAATTAAAATTTATATGAGAAAAAAACACTTTTAGTTGTGAGCTCCTAATGATGATCAACCTCAAACAAAAAGTGTGGCAAACTTATAAATTGATCCAATCCACATTTATGATGGGATATTTGCAGACATCTTCTCAGTAAATGAAAAAGACAACATTTGTCAATCTACCAATTGTTTAGAAGGTTAAGAAAACCCTCTCGGGCTGGGGATGTGGCTCAAGCGGTAGCGCGCTTGCCTGGCATGCGTGCGGCCCGGGTTCGATCCTCAGCACCACATACAAAGATTTGTGTCCGCCGAGAACTAAAAAAAATAAATATTAAAAAATTCTCTAAAAAAAACCCCTCTTTAAAAATGTTTTTGAAAAATATATATTCATCAAGATTATAAAAAAGAAGTCACACTGACATTTAAAAATGTCATTTGTTTTGAAAAAAGAAAGATGAGTAAATATCTGTAAAAGGTAAGAACCTGACACATGAGCCCCATAGGAAAATCATAATTAACAAAATCTCATTTTCAATGGCCCCATTAACCACACAGTGGTTGATTAGAAATACATTTTTAATTCACAGATTCAATAAGGTTCAAAATGAAAGAAGAAAAACTTACTATGTGATTTGATTTAAAATGAAACTATTAAACTCACACTACTTAAACAAAACTTGTGTAAGTATGTAGCCTCGATATTTACTTTCAAAAGTAAAAATTAGCTAAAGTCTAGGGATCTACTTTAAGAATGAGTCACTGGGGCTGGGGTATGGCTCTGTGGTAGAGCGCTTGCCTACCATGTGCAAGGCCCTGGGTTCAATCCTTCGGTCCACATATAAATAAGGGTATCATGTGCAACTACAACTAAAAAATAAATATTAAAAAAAGAATGAGCCACTGATAAATGTTATATTCATAAACTGTAGAACATTTTCTTCAGCTTATGTATCTTCTTCAGCATTCTACACACATTCTTTTGCATCAAGATCTTTATTGCTTACATTTATAGGACTGCTCTATATGAAGACTTGGAAACTATTTGTTACAAATGACAACTGTCTTATATATTTCACATTTATAAGGTTTTGATCCAGTGCACATTCTTAAATGTGGGACAATTAAAGACTTCTCCACATCTGTTCTCTTCAAGGATTCTCACTATGCTATGTTCTTTTATATCTGTGAATCAAACCAAGATGAACAGAGGCATTCCCACAGGCTTTACATTGATAGGAGCATTATCATGTATGCAAATAAAGTGAAGCCTTCCCATATTCTATATTTAGGGATTCTCTCCAGTGTGAGTCCTTTGACCACAGGTTTATGGTAACACCATTGGAAGTTAAAGAAAATCCATAGTTATAGTTAAGTGTTAGGTGCATCGTAGGAAATACTTGAGTTTATAATAAGAGATAAAGACAAAAACAGACCCAGAAGACTGGAGTCAGCCTCACACTTCCAGCAAGGCCAAGACTTATGAGACATGTCACATACCTCTGACAGCAGATAATGCCCCCCAATGACAAGGATGATTCAAGGCAAAAAACAAAGACATCTAGTATATGTGTTTCTAAAACTGGTAAAAATGAAAGACATTCTGAACCCCCCAATCCTAAATAAGGAAAGTTCCACTCTTCTCACTGTGAAACCAGCTGGTGCTTCTCATGAATTAGGTCTTTCTTCACCCCCATTATTTTGGCCTTCCAGGTAAGAACCTTATGGTTACCAAGAATAAGTTGTATCCAC